CGGCTCCTCACTGTCAGCTTGCACTCTGTGATCGTGAGAGGCTTCCATCAGTGGTTCTTCCGTTCAGAATATCTGCAACTTCTCGTCTCAACTAAAATATCATTTTAACTGAGGTCTAGAAAAGTTTTATCTGTAATTCTTAATCCTTTGGGCCATATCTGCAACTTCACATTTAGTCAGTCACTCAACAAATATTAATTGAATTCTTTCCATGTTCCAGGCAACATTCTAATAGCTGGATGTACACATGTAAATTTTAAAAAGCCCCTACTGTAAGAAATTAATGTTATAGTTAGGGAAGACAGACAATGTAAGTAAATAAGATCTTTTCAGATAATGTCATGTAACTAGATGAAAATAATATAAGCGTGACAGAGACTTGCATAGGGAAAGCCTCTGAGGGGAGAGACACTTGGACTGAGACCTGTATGATGGGAAATAGGTGGTCATGTGACATCGAGGGAGAGGTGCTCCAACTAGGAGGAGCAGCAAGTTTAAACCCTTGAGACAGGAAAAGGTTAGGAGGTGATTGAGAACCAGAAAGGAAACCAATGTAAATAAAATGGAGTGAGAACTAAAGAGATTGACAGGACCTCATGAGTCCTTGAAAAGAGGTTATCTTTTGTTCTGGTTCATTCTTGGAAGTCTTTGCAAGATTTTAATCACGGCACAGCAAAGTCTGATTCAATCTTTCAGATTATCATGCCAGATGCTCTGTGGAGAATGGAATACTGGTCACAGTGTGGATGCAGGGAGACCAATCAGGAGGCTGATGGAATAATCCAGGAGAGAGATGATGGTGGCTTGGCTCAAAGTGGTAGCTTTGGAAATAGATTTTGAGTTCAAATTGCAATAGAACTTACTTCTGGATTGGAATCTGGTTATGATGAAAGAAGGAAAAATAAGACGGAGTCTTAGTTTTATGCTTAATTAGGCAGATAGGGAAGGATTGTGGAAGTGGGAATTCTGGAGCACGGGAGAATGCCAGGGGTCCCGTTTTGGCCATGCTGATATTGAGATGGCAGTTACACATCCAGAAAGATTATGTAGTGGCAGGAGTCTGGAGCTCAGCAGAGAGGCTGGGCTGAAGATGGGTTAGATTGCCTGGAAGAATGTGTAGATACAGAGGATGGCCAAGGACAGAACAAGCCAGCATTTTGTGATTGTTAGAGGAGATGTCGGCAGAGGAGGCTAGTACGTTGAGACTTATGAAACAGCAAAAAAATAAGGCAAGGTGGCGTGATTGCTTAAAAAAGCCATAAGGAGCCCTGGCTGGTGTGGCTCACTGGATTGAGCACCAGCCTACGGACCAAAGGGTCACTGGTTCCATTCCCAGCCAGGGCACATGCCTGGATTGCAGGCCAGGGCTCGGCAGGCGGTGGGCGGGTGGGGGGGGGGGGCGGCCCACAAGAGACAATCACACATTGATGTTTCTTTCCTCCTCCTTCTCCCTCCCTTCCCCTCTCTCTAAAAATAAATAAATAATATCTTTTAAAAAAGCCATAAGGAAAGAAGTGTTTCAAAAGACAGGAAGATTCAACCTTGTGAAATGTTGCTAAGAGACAGAGAAAATAATGAGGGAAAATGAACTGTTGGAATGTAGGAGGAGAAGTATTAGGAGGGGTAAATTAAGGAATAGATGATAAATAGTCTGGATTCAGGAGGGAGAAGATAGTGTTTGGGCAGCAAGGTAAACCACAGGGGAAATCTTACTAGGATGCATCCATAACTTTTTTGTGGGTGATCAGAATGACAAATCCAGGGACAAAAGTCAGGTTGTAGAAACAAGAGCAAGGGCTGTGTAACCAAACAACCCAGAGTAAATCCTGTCAAGGAGTGACTAGGGTTTGTGGGGCTCATGGAGCATGCTGTGGCTCGGTCCCACGGCAGCATAAAATGCTCCTGTAGCTTCTGACCTACAGAGTTAATTTGCCCAGTTTGCTGAGCCTCTGACCCTTCTGGCTTTAGTGCTCTCCATGAGATCCCCTTCCTCCCAAACGAGGTGCTATCAAAGAGGATGACATTCCCAACTAAAGAAACACATTCTTTGAGCAAGAGGATATGAGTAGAAAAGACATTAATCAAAACAACAATGCAAGGTGGAATGCAGAACATGACATCACAGCAGTGTAGGTAACAGGCGATAGGAGATTAGATAAGGTCCCACTTGAGCAAGGGCGAGAAGGAAGCAGGAATCTGGACCTGCAGAGATGAGGGCCCTCTTGTGCGAAGGAACTGGTGAGAAGACTCTTTAGACCAGAAGGCCTGATGTTAAAGAAAAGCTTCAGTTTTGAGTTTGAAATTCTTGGGTGGAATTGCAGAAAGCCTGAGTGTCAGGTTAAGAGGCTTGGGCTGTATTTGCTTAGGAATGAGACCCCAGGATGGTTTGTAAACAGGAAGATGTGAGATAACAATGGTAAAAGCATAATGGGAAACTAGTCAGGCATTCAGTTTAGAGATTATTACAATATGCCTGGTGAGAGGAACTCATGGCTTTCTACTAGGTTATAGATTGTAACAATGTGCTAGAAGGAAAAATATGCATCAGGGATTTTGTGAGAATAGCTTTTTTTGTTTATTTTATTTTATTTATTTTATTTTATTTTGCATTGTCTTTCTCCTGGAGAAAAAAAGACATGAAATATCTTCCACACAGCCTGCCCCAGCCAAAATTATCTGATTCAGAAGAAGAAGAAGGAAATTCCTCCCCCTCTGTTTTTAAATTAAAAAAAAAAATGATCTTTTCTCTCCAGCCTACCTTTTTATTCTGGCTATATCCTTTGTGATTCTATAGGCTTGAAGCAATGATAATTAAATATTTCATTTCTGCAAGATGGAATAACTAGAAATTATTATACTTAAAATCTCTGGTCATTCCTTAATATCATTTACATGAAGACCTAAGGGAGGATATTATTCATGTCTGACCACAGCTCTGGAGCCTGAAAGAGACTCCAAGGATGTTACATCATGCTCCATCAACCTGCGAGTCTGAGCTTGATTTTAGCTGCCTGAAAACTTAAAATTGTGTTTGCAGGAATGGCAGAGTTCAGCCAGTTTGGATTGAATGTCTGTAACTCAATAGGTTTCTTCACACAGAATCTCACAGGAGAAAGTTCTTTCTAGAAATACTCCAAAAACAGGCTTACCAAACTGGCCCATCCTTCCTTGCCTTGAGTCACTTATTTTGTAGTTTTTCAGTTTACCTAGTACAGTTTTCTCCTTTCTTCACATCTCCAAACTTTGCCTTTCAATCTCCTCTCTACTATAGCTATCTTGCATTCCCATGTTGCCACAAAAAGTTAAGGGATTGCAAAATGCCTCTTTTCGGATCATGGAAACCTTTGGGTTTTAGTATCTTCTTAAAGAAAATAACACTGAGCTGCTAAGTAAGCAGAAGTGTAAAATTGACTAGATATTTTTCCCACAAGTCTCTGGAAATTTTATTTTAAGATATAATAACAGTAAAACATCTACATTTTTAAAATGAATTTCTGGAGATTTTACTATAAAATATAAGTAGGAAGCCTTCATAAACGTTATTCCAGCTGGGCAGAATTCTTCATGTGGCTTCTCTCTTTTTATCTTTATACTTCTTAATAAAATATAAGTTGTGCAGCAGCCTCATGCACTCCCACACCTATGCATTTATACAGAGGTGGAACAGGAGGATAACTTTTAAATCACTAAAACTTGGTCATATCAGAACTGCGGATACATTTAAAAATGGGAAAAAAAAATCCTTAAGTTGTATTCCAAGTCAAATACTAAAAATTCAGAAATAAGATTCTTTATAACAGGGGTAATGCCAAATTTGGACATACTGGATACATTCTTTAGCAGGAGTGTAGCTAATGCAGCCATCAACTGTGAAGTGATTATCAGCATAACTTTGATCCAGGATTTTTCTAATAAATGTGCAAATCATTAGCATTTATCATGGGTCAACACTGTGGTTTGTATTGCACTTCCATAGGAATAGTGTTCCACCCTGTCTGCCTTTCTTTCTGTCTCACAGTTTTCAGTCTCTCAAGTTGACTAGCCCTGGGAAGACTATTTGTTAAGTTGCGCAATATTTCTTCATATGTCCTCTTTATCATCTTTCATTAGAGATTGTCAAAATTAAATTATATGTTCCTCTCACTTTAGTACTATTTTCCCTAAATTATATGAAGAATATAATTTCCAGTTTAAAATAGAAAAAAAAAAGATTTTTCTCAAAAACACATGTTGAGTAATAAGAACAGGAAAACACCTAAGCATCTTAAAACTTAAGTGAGTTGGGGCTGGGGAAAGGGCGTTGGGAGATAGGGAAAAAGAAACCACATTATTACTTGTTCCCAAAAAACTTATCTTGGGAACAATCATGAAAAATAGGTCTGGAGGATGCCATTTAGAAACTCATTCACAGTGAGTTATAGTTAAAACTGAACTCTAAGCTTATTTTCTTTTTCTTATAATTGAAGATTTTGGAGAGCATCTCATTTGTCCTCAATATTAATTCCCTCAGACATAGAAAAAATCCTGGGAAAGAATCTTAGCATGGACTGATTTATAGAAAATCATAAAATTTTAATCTGTATTACCTTTTCCAAACTGGAAAAACAACATTGGTGAAATGGAAAACAAAAAACAGTAGAGGCCTTGAAGACACTCAGGACTTGCTCCAAACCATCTGTTTCACTACTTACTAAGGGTTTGAAATGGAGGTAATACATCCATACCTGGTTGGGATGGCCTGAGGATTAAACGAGATAAGGTGTATAAATTGCCTCATGTACACAGTGTGAGATCCATGGCAGGCAAATGCTAAAAAATATCTTTGCTTTCCTTCCCTCCCCAACCCAACCCTCATGCCCATACATGAAACACTGCTTAAATAATCCCCCTCAAATACTTCTACACACCAAAAAAACAACCAAAAAAATTCAATTTAAGTCAGAAACTGATTTATGAATGCATCATAAGAACCTACCATTAATATTATTCTAATATTTTAGGGTATCCTTAGATGAATCCAAAGAGGGGGAAAAGATGACTATGATGGCCCACCAGTGCTCTTCTTGGATCTTCGTCAATGAGAGGACATTCCTTACCGGGTAACTATGTGCCTGTTTTATATGTTATCATAGTTGCCAGTCATGTGTAGGTTATGCCCCAGCGGTATGCTATTCTAAGCATGATATATGACCCACAAGATCAGTAGTAGAGACATTAAATAAGTTGAATAAACATATTCCTAAAGACTGCTAAATCATAGTCTTTCATAGAACAATCATTCATATTTTATAAACTGTGGTCTAATTTCACTAAAAGCTAAATATGTATTTTATTAGTTGGTAAAATTCTCAGGAGCATCATTGAATAAAGGATCTAAGGCCGCTCACAAATGATTTATCTGAAGAGTTAGCCCAGGAGTCCAACACAAGATTTCCTGTCCTCTCCCCTCTTTCCCTTGTCCTCGGGACACACTTGATGTCTCCTCTTTCCCTCTAAGCATTAGGTTGTGCAATATGTGGCGAACACCCACAGCTGTTTTCTTATACACAGCAAATAGCATCTTGTGTTGCTTTGGGAATAATAGAGTAGGGATGCAAAAATTAAAAGGGAAAAAAAATGAGAACTGAACTTCACTGAGCTAGGGCAGCAGCTGACGAAGAGAAAAATTAAATGCTAAGCAAAAACAAGTGGCCCTGGAAGAGGAGCCATGTCTTACAAGAAAGACAAACAAAGCCAAATAAATGAGAGAAGGAAGTGAATGTAAATGATACAGAACTGGGAAATAGGAAGCAGAGGGAACAAATATGGTTAAAAACAGAATTAGAGCCGCTGGTGGAAGACAGCATAAAGTATAAGAAGTAGGAAGAAGACAAAGTAAAAGAGTAGATTCATTTACTCATTCCTCCAATACTTATTGACTGCTTCCTGTGGACAGGTACTCTTTTTGATCCTGAGCATTCAGCAATGAACCGAACAAAGATTTTACCTTCATGGGTTTGTCTTCTATAGAGGAATATAGTAGTCCATCCTTATCCACAGTTTTACTTTACTCAGTTTCATCACCTGCAGCCTGAAAATATTAAATGGAAACTTCCAAAAATAAACAATTCATGAGTTTTAAATAGTGCGATGAAATCTCACCATCCCATTCCGTCCTACCTGAGACACGAATCATCCTTCTGGACAGTATACCTAGGCTGTCTAGGCTTCCCACCCATTGGTCACTTAGTAGCTGTATCAGCTATCAGGTAGCCTGTCAGGATACTTTATTCAAGTAGCTCTTATTTTACTTAATAATGGCCCCCAAATGCTAGATGAGTGATGTCAGAAATTTGGATATGGCAAAAAGAAGCTGTAAATGCTTCGTTTAAGTGTAAAGGTGAAAGTTCTCAACTTAATAAGAAAAAAAAAATGCTGTTACCAAGATCTATTGTAAGAAAGAATCTTCCATCCATGAAATTGCCTAGTTTATAAATTAAACTATATCATAGGTATGTATGTATAGAAAAACATAGTATATATAAGGTTTGGTACTATCTGCAGTTTTGGGCATCCACTGGAGGTCTTAGAATGTATCCCCTGCAGATAAGGGAGAACTACTATACAGTCAATATGTTAAGATAAATGGGTAACAATATATATTATTAAATGCAGAAAGCTATGAAGAATAAAAATAAAGCAGGAGAGGGAGTACCAAGTGAGTGCTGAAAGTGGAAAGACAGGTTGATATTTTATATAAGATAGCTAGGAAGTCTTCAGTGAGGAAGTAACAGAATAAAAACTCAAAGGAGGTAAACAAGCAAGCTGTTCAGGTAACTGGTTAGGAGCCCCCAGGCCACAGAGGTGGTCACATGCCTGTAAAGGAAGAGGAAGCAGGTGTGGAGAAGTGAAGTAGGAAGGACAGTAGAAGCTGAAGTTAGAGACATAATGGGGCCAGACATGGAGGGTTTCAAAAGCCATCGTGAGACTCGACATTTCCCACTTATGCAATGAGAAACCATCGAAGGATATTGAGTACATAGGTGACTGGATCAGTCTGTATGTTTAGTTAAGAGCAGACTGAAGAAGAGGCAAGAGTAGAAGCAGAGAAACTATCGAGGAGCTGATAGTCCAGGGTAGAGATGATAGTACTTTGACCCAGGTGGCAGCAGTGGCGGTAGCAGGGTAAAAAAGATCAGATTCTGGATATATTATGAAGGAAGAGACAATAGGGCTTTCCAAAGATTTAGGTGTAGGATGTGAAGAAAGAGAATAATCAAGAATGATTCAAAGAGTTTTGGTCCAGAAGAGTAGAGTTAAAATTTTCTGATATTATAAAGACTAGATAGGAGGAACAGGTTTGGGGTAGAATATCAGGAGTTCAGAATGAGTAAAATCAACAAGGAAATAAATGTAAACAGAGAAGATTCAAGATCCAAGGTTAGAAAACTGTGAAATAAAGTAAGAAAAGCAGAAAACAAGAAGGCCAGAAAGAAGTATGTTGGGTGAAAAGTAAGCAAAAATGACTGTAGAGACTGAACAGGAAGGAAGAACAGCGATGTAGGAGATAATTACATATATAATCTGTTATACATGGTCTGTCCAGAAGATATCCACGCATATAATATGAAAAATAGGGATATTTATTGAAGAAGATGCAAGAAACATTGTACATAGGACAATGACATTCTGTCCCCTTCAAAGTAGGCATCTTGAGACCTCACACAGTTCCCAATCACCATCAGCTGTCCCATCGTATTTTCCTGAATCTCATCAAGCTCTGAAATCTATTCCCTTTCGACGGTGATTTTAGTTTTGGGAAAAACTGAAAGTCACAGGGCACAAAATCTGGGCTGTAGTGGGGCTGAGTCACCTGGATGATTTGACATTTGGCCTAAAAACTTCATGAGACATGATGCATGAGTAGGCACGTTGTGATGCAGCTGCCAGTCATCAGTTGCCCATAACTGTGGCCTTCTGAATCATGCTAATAGTTTCAATTGAGGAATGTTCAAGCTTATCACAAAATTTGATGCAGATCCATTGCTTGACTAGCTCAGTCATTTTGAATGCGATGGCCACATGATACACAAGCTCACTCAACAGCATCTGTCACCCCTACTGACTAGTTCAGTGAAGTTGTCATTGTATTCCAGCCCACTCTCTTTGGCTGCCAGGTTTCATAGATGTCACACAAATCATCCTCATTATTATAACAATGGCTGCACTTTTTCTGGACAGACTTCGTGTGTGTCTGTGTTTTTCTGTGTGTGTATGTGTGTTTGTGTGTGTGTGTGTGTGTGTGTGTGTGTGTGTACAAGGTCTGTCCAAAAGATATACAGCTATGTTATTTGAAAAGCAGAGGAAAAAAACATATATTACCCACTACATATGTCATTTAAAATATATATATGACACCACTCCAGGATGTCAAGATAACTGAAGAATTGATGGAGATACAAGAAGAAGAGGGAAGTTGAGGAATTATAAAATTGAAATAAAAAACTGAGAAATTTATTTTTTTTTAAATACTAAGTACAGATGACTGACAATGAAGGTCAGGGAAGGTAGGCTCCACATAAACAAGAAGAGAAAAGGGACAGAAGGTCCTGGGGACTGGTAAGAGATGGACTTGGTAACAAGAGGGGCATTGTTGAAAGGACCAGAAAGATGGCAGTTTGGAAAGGGAAAAAGAAAAAGGAAAAGATGAGAAAAAGACTGAATGATCTGCAGGAGAAGCAGGAAGCAAATGAGGTTAAGGTAAGATGATGGAGAAGTTGGGAGAGCCTGTGAAAAGGTAAGAGGCTCCCAAGACAGTGGCAGAAGGTGACAAACAGGGTAAGAGCCCAGGAAGTTCCAAGAAGATCCCCCTGCCGCATTTGCCTCTTCCCAAAGAAAATTACAGAAGGAAGAGAGGTGTCTCCAAAGACAACAGCCCTGGGTCTACACCAGTGTTCCTTTTTGCCTATATATGCCTTTCGTGCTGTGTAACTTGAACCAACCAGGAAAAGAAATTTACCACACCAGGAGGAAAGTTCAGAGAAAGAAAAGCACAGAGCATAAGAAAAGAATGTACAAACCCCTGTACATATTTTCCTGTTATTCAACTCTGCATGACTCAGTTCAGCTCGTGAAATCATGACTCTCATCTGCCCCATCAGTGCATTGCTAAATTGCTCCTGGGGCCCACCTCTCAGGTTACAACTGCTGAGGTTACAGCCGTTGTCCCTTAGACACTTCAGCTGTGACACAGCAGCTCTATCTACCTCCTGAATTCCTGAAGAAGCAAAGCCCTTTCCCACTCCAACCTTTAGACCTACCCTCACAACCAGATTAAAATACACTCTAAACATACACCAGGTAACCTCCCTCCACAGTCCCTGGTGTGCACACCTTGGCATCAACCTCTCTTCCCTGAAAAAAGCTCAAGACAGATGTCATAGAGAAGCTCCTGTGCCCTCCCTGACTCTTGTCTGCTCTGAGGGGTATTTCTGTCCTGGCTAATTCCTATCATTTGTATGCCTGCATTTCTTTTTATTTTCAAGGTTTATCCTCCTGGTCTATTCTCTAGAACGGTTTTTTTCCACCTTTATAGAGCTCCTCAGTTTGAATAAGATTTAGGTCAATCTCACTGTAGCCATGACCAGCCAATGGTAACTTCTGTCTTGGTTTACCACATTCCCTTCTTTTGTTCATTGTGAAGTCACAGTATGAAAATCACAGATTTTCACTGACATAGACACTAGTAGTTACCAGGTCAACTTCTGTTGCTTTTGGAATATTTTGTTTCCCAGTCTCAGCTTTTCACTTTCCCAGTGAAAGCCTCCCTGAACTGCAGTTAAAGAGTTTAATTAGCCTGTGTTAATTACTTGTATATTTTTTTCTTTTTTAAAATATTTATTTCCAAATTATTAAGTATGATTATTTGATTATTATATATTATATATTTATGTTTTATGCAATTATAAAAGCAGAGAAAATATAGAAACATCCAGATTTAAAAAATAAAAAATAAAGATTATCCATAATCTCACTACTGAGGAAACATATATACTATTTAATTTTTCATATTCTCCATCTTCTAAGGACTCTATTTGCTATAATTGAGATTATACTGTAT